ACCAAGGCCATCCCACCCACCAAAGCCATCCAACCCACCAAAGCCATTGTTGGGTTCCATCCAAACAGACAGTATGGGTTGGGTTTGGGTCCCAGGGGATGGACACAGCCTCCGGGCTGAGCCCTGCTAAAGGCTGGGGTCCCGTGAAAGGTGAGTTGGGGTGAGGCTTGTGAAATCCATCCTTGGGTTCCACCCAAACGGCCAACAGGAGTTGGGTTGGGGGCTCCTGCTCCTTTCGGGTGGCTCCGACTCACGGTGGGCGACTCCAGGCCCCGCTGCAGCAACATGGCAGCTCGCTGTGCTCGTGCCGCACGGACGCCCATTCTTCTTTCTTTCCTCTTCCAGATTCAGAAGGAGTTTTCCATGACATGGACAGCGAGAGCATCAGCCACCTGGGGGACTGCCTGCTGTCGACGGCTGAAGCCAACCTCCTGCAAGCCCGCGTGGGCAACCCCATCGACCGACTGTACTCCATGCAGAGCTCCTACTTCACCTCCTGACCTTCAAACTGCTCTCCACCAGGACCCACCAGGACCCACCAGTATCTCGAATGGGTGCTGCTCTGGGTTCGGACACGAGACATTCCTTGAGTGCTGCACAACAGAGGAGGCGGCGGATCCGGCCCAAGCAGAAGCGCTACTCTGCAACCCGAAGGACTCGGGATTGCCTCTCTCCTTACTTTCTAGCCTCAATGGGCGGTATGATGTTGTTTAGCTGTTCCTTTAGCAGTTTGTCCCGTGTTTGAGCATGACGTCCTTCCGACACAGACTGGCCAAGCCGAGCGGAGCGGCCCCAAGCAGCAGCGCAGGCTTCTTCCTCTTGTTTATTCAATCCCTGCTGCGCTGGTTTGCCTCGTTCCTCAGCCCAGACGCTTCGTGGAGCAAGGTTAATTTCCAACAAGGTCCTGAGGCCTCTCCAAGGGACGCCTCTCTGCTCCATGCCCCTCTTCACGGCCACCGCAGGGCAGTTTTCATCTGACATTTCACAAAGGCGCCGTCGCCTGGCTTTGGAATGAAACAGCTGGGATCGGTGTCTGCCTCCAGAAATGGGAGCATTTCTGCTCCGTCAAGGATGCCAAGAGGAAACGTGGCAAAGCCGCAGCGAGTTCCCCGTTGCTGTCACACCTTTCGTCCTCCAAAGGGGCGCTTTCACTCCGTTTGTGGACAGAGCACAAAATCACAGCTGCCAGCCGTGCTCCTTTCTGCTTTTTTTTCTTTTCTTTTTTTTGCCCCCAAAAATATTCCTGCTGGAAAGCCTTTATAGCTTTGTCCACAGCAGGTTTTTTTGGCAACCCTGCCCACGGCTGGTGGGTTGGAACCAGATGACTTTTGAGGTTCTGTCCAACCCAAATCGTCCCATCGTTCTGTGATCTTTAAGGTCCTTTCCAACCCAACCATCCCATGGTTCTGTGATCTTTAAGGTCCCTTCCAACCCAACTTATTTCATAGTTCCATGATCTTTAAGGACCCTTCCAACCCAATCCCATCCCATCGTTCTGTTATCTTTAAGGTCCTTTCCAACCCAACCATCCCAACCATCCCATGGTTCCATGATCTTTAAGGTCCTTTCCAACCCAACCATCCCATGGTTCTGTGAT